GGCGGGGCGCGGGCGGGGCGCGGGCGGGCGCGTAGTAGGTGCGCGGAGCTGGCTATGCGGGGAGCGCGGAGCGGGCGCGCGGACGGGGATGCGCGGGGCCGTCGCCGGACCCCGGCCTGGGCCGCGCCTGGGCGGCGGGCTGTGGTGGAGGGAGGCTGATCCCTGAGAGCCACACCTGCGCAGGGAGCCCTGTCCCATTTCCTCCTTCCGATCCCAGGGCCGAGTGCTGTCCGCGCCCCGAGTTAGGGATGAGGAAACGGGCCGCCCGTGCGCCGGTGTTGGACCCAGGATGGAAGGCTGGGCAGCGTGGTTCTGGAACTTTCTGCACTTTTGGCCCGGGGATGACCCACCTCGTGTGCCGCAGAGTCGACTGGGGCTTGCGAAAATGTGCCTGAAGACGAGCTTTGAGAAGGCGGCTCCCTGTGCTGGGAGCCGGTCCTGGCGGGGTGGGCGAGAGGGGAGGATCCCAACGCAGGGCCATTTGGCTCCGAAGTCGAAGTTGTTGTGTTTAGTTTATTGATTAAATGTCTGTGGACCTAATGCACTTCCCGAACCTTTGCTAGGCACGGAGGCAGAGTTTGAACGTGACAGCCCCAACATTTTAAATTTCGGACTGACGAGGGCTCTGAGCACGAGGGCAGAAGGTGTACCAAGAGTGTTGTAATCAAAAGCAAGAGAGGACGGAGGCAGGCCAGTGGCAAGGCCCTCAGCCTGCAGAGACATCAGCTGCTGACTAGGATGGAGGGGTGGGGACAGAGGTGGACAGCTTGGAAAAGTAGACCCCACAAGACCCCCTGATGCAGTGAAGGTGGCGAGAATGTGACGATGGCTCCCAGATTTCTGGCTGGCGCAAATGAGCGGGTGGTGGTTCCAAGACTGAGGAGGTGGGGAATTCAAAAGCCTAGTTCCTTTCCCAGCCGTCGGCCAGTGGGGTACTGAGAAGTCGAGATCCACCAGGCATGATGCTTGGTAAAAAGCATTATCGGGGCGCCTGGGTGGCGCAGTCGGTTAAGCGTCCGACTTCAGCCAGGTCACGATCTCGCGGTCCGTGAGTTCGAGCCCCGCGTCAGGCTCTGGGCTGATGGCTCAGAGCCTGGAGCCTGTTTCCGATTCTGTGTCTCCCTCTCTCTCTGCCCCTCCCCCGTTCATGCTCTGTCTCTCTCTGTCCCAAAAATAAATAAACGTTGAAAAAAAAATTAAAAAAAAAAAAGATTTGTTAAAAAAAAAGCATTATCCCCAGCCCTCTGAGAGTCTACCAGCCAGGACACAGAAGAACCACTTTTGAAAGGTCTACCCTGGGGCACCTCGGTTAGTTGGGCATCTGACTTTAGCTCAGGTCGTGACCTCACCATTGGTGAGTTTGAGCCCCGCATCGGGCTTTCTACTGTCAGCACAGAGCCCTCTTCGGATCATCTGTCCGCCCCCCCCCCCCACCCCACTCTTTCTTGCTCTCTCAAAAATAAATAAAAACGTTAAAAAAAAAAAAAAGTCTACCCTGCCCTTCACAGTTATATGAGTCAGTGGGCTCCCTACTCCTTGTGTTAGATACGCCTCATTCAGATTGGAGGCTCAGGCACTTGTGTCTGAGAGTCCTCACTGATACCTAGAGCAGTTGATCATTCATTCATTCATCCATTTATTCATTCAGTTAATCAATGAACTAAGCGCATGGCCCCTACAGCCCTCAACTAGGTGCTGGGCTTGCAGGGATCCAGTGAGGCAGGGAGACGGCCAATAGATACAACGAGAGGCGGGTGTCTGTGTTTATAACATGTGCAGAAACCAAGGCAAAGGGTTTGAGTCAGGCTGAGAAACCAGAGAAGACTTCTTAGAAACGGCTTGGACAAGAATCATCAGAGAGATGCGAAGGGGCAGCAGGGGATCCAGATGAAGGGAAGACAGTTTTTAAGGTCTGAAAGCCTCTCTCCACAGGCTGATTATTACAGTTACAGTGTAGAAATGAGGCAACATTGGCCGGCTGATAAAAAATTAGCATGGTAATCATCGGGGCGCCTGGGTGGCGCAGTCGGTTAAGCGTCCGACTTCAGCCAGGTCACGATCTCGCGGTCCGGGAGTTCGAGCCCCGCGTCGGGCTCTGGGCTGACCGCTCGGAGCCTGGAGCCTGTTTCCGATTCTGTGTCTCCCTCTCTCTCTGCCCCTCCCCCGTTCATGCTCTGTCTCTCTCTGTCCCAAAAATAAAATAAAAAACGTTGAAAAAAAAATTTAAAAAAAAAAAATTAGCATGGTAGTGAGGGGCAGACGAACACCATGTACCTTCCAATGTGATGCCCTTAGAAGGACACTACATTACTTAATCTGGCCAGGAATGTGTATCCTGCATATATTTGAGAAAACTGTAGACAAACCCTGAATAAGGAACATGCTGTTAAACAAACAGAGAAGGACTGTATTCTTCAGAAATGTTACTGCCATAAAAGACCACTTTTTCCGACAGGACAACTAAATGCAGTATCTGATCCTACTGGATCTGCCAGTGCAGACGGAAAGACTATAAGGACCATTATTGGAAACATAACTGGAACATGAGTGACAAAACTGGAATTCAGACGTGGATTAGATAAACGTGTTACATCAATGTTAAGTTCGGGGAAATTGATAACAGTCCTGTGGTTCTGTAAGAGAACCACAGCTCTCTTACAGTTTATTCTCAAAAAATTTACACTGAAATATTTAGAGGTTAACATAGACTGAATGTCCGTGTCCCCCCAGAATTCATATGTTGAAACTGAATCCCCGATATGATGGTATTTGATGGTGGAGACTTTGGGACATCATGAGGATGGAACCTACGTGAATGGGATGAGTGCCTTATTTTTCTTAAAATTTTTATGTTTATTTATCTATTTTTCGGAGAGAGACAGAGGGGAGGGGAGGGTCAGAGAAAGAAAGAGAGAGAGCCTCCCAAGCAGGCTCCGTGCTATTGGCACAGAGCCCAATGTGGGGCTCGAACTCACAAACCTCGGGATCGTGACCTGAGCCGAAACCAGGAGTTGGATGGACACTCAACCAACTGAGCCACCCAAGTGCCCTGGGATCAGTGCCCTTATGGCAGAGACCCCAGGGAGCACCCTTGCCCCTTCTGTCCCCATGAGCAGATGGTGCAAAGACAGCCTCTGAACCAGGAAGCAGGTCCTCACCAGTGACCAAATCTCCTGGCACTTTGATCTTGGACTTTCCAGCCTCTAGAACTATGGAAAATACTTTTCTGCTGTTTATAAGGCACGCGGTCTATGACGTTTCTGTTAGAACAGCCCAAAGGGACTAGACAGGAGTAAGGAGCCATGACACCAGCAACTTAGGTGGTTCGGAACAAATGATAAAGCAAACGGAGCAAAATGCTAATAGCGGAACCTGGGAGAGGGTATGTGAAGATATCTTCCTACGCTTCTTCTTGCAATCGTTCTGTATACCTGAATGGTTTTCAAATAAAAAGTAAAAGTAATAAAGCTAAGAAAATAAAAAGCAGTGTCTTTAGCCGAGTCTTAAAGGAGGAAGAAGAGGCTGGGAGGGTGTCCTCCCAGTAGGGACCATGAAGACAAAGGCCTGGAGAGCTGATGATTGGGCACCTGCAAGGGTGCAGGCCCTCCTGGTGCAGACGGGGAGCGCACAGCACCCTTGGTCTGACGGTTGCTGACAAAGCACTCGGGCCCCTCGGGGACCGGGGTCTGGGCCGGGCTGCCCCAGCAACTCAGCCTCGGAGACAGGGAGAGAGGGAGGAGGGTGTGGCTGCAGGTGGGGGACGTTGAGTCCAGCCCAGGGTGGCGCTGGGGGCTGTAGCTCACCACACTAATCTTTTTCTTACAAGTTTCCCTGCAGAAAAAGAAGCCTAACAAGATCCTGGGTGAGGTGTTTCCAGAACATACATCGAGCTGAGCAGTTCTGGGCGGACTGTACTGGATGCTGTGTGCACCATGCAAACCCCCCAAACATACAGAAGCAGCATTTCTCTCAGCTGCTAGGGGTGCCAGTGGCTGGTGGCTCGAAGCTGAGTGTCTCCCAGGTCCCCCCTCCTTCACAGAGGCTGCCCACACCAGGACTTCTCCATGCAAACGCATAAAGGCCAGCACCTGTGGCTACCGGGGGACAACTGTGTAGCTCCAGAGGCCCCCGTAGGGTCAGCTGAGACCATCTTCTCAGCTCCCTGTCCCTCTGTCCAGCCCTGCTTCCTTCACTGCCTGGCACGCTCCAGCCACAAGGGCGGTCCCCAGGAACCCCCCTGTCCGTGATCCCTGTCTCAAAGTCTGTTTCCCGAGGGCATAACCTCCGAGTCCTATTCTGAACAATTTAAAGAACAAACAAAAGGAGTTATACAATTTAAAAGCGTAACGTAAAACTGAGGAAGAACTAAGACCAAATGTCCAGTCAGGAGATGCAATAGGCCAAACTCAGAAGGACTCTCAGAACAGGTGACAGGGCAAATCCCAGCCACGTGCTCTACATGCTGTCTAGTAAGGACAAGCTGCATGGAGACAAAGCTAGTCACACTCTTCCACCAGTTTACCATGTTCTAGAAAATTCCAAACCGTGGGGACAGAGAACAGATGAGTGGTTGCCAGGGCCCCGGGGTTGGAGGGACCGGATGACAGCAGAGCAGCGTGAGGGAAGTCCAAAGGGGGACAAAACCCGTCTCTGTCAATAGTGGTGGCAGTTATACAGCTGCCTGTGTCAGTGCTCGTCAAACTGTATTCACAACAGTCCGTACATCTCGATAAAGCTGACCACAAAACACAGTTGTGACATGCAACATATATGATTCTTCATTCATGCCTTAAATCACAAGGTAAGAATTTAAACAGCGCTATCCACAATAGCCAAAGTATGGAAGGAGCCCAAATGTCCATCGACGGATGAATGGTATATATGTACAATGGAGTATTACTCGGCCATCAAAAAGAACGAAATCTTGCCATTTGCAACTATGTGGATGGAACTGGGGGTATTATGCTAAGTGAAATTAGTCAGAGAAAGACAAGTATCCTATGACTTCACGCATAGGTGGAATTTTAAAAACTTAACAGATGAACATAGGGGAAGGGAAAGAAAAATAATATAAAAACGGGGAGGGGGGCAAAATACAAGAGACTTTTTTTTAATGTTTATTTTTGAGAGAGACAGAGACAGAGTGGAAGCGGGGTGGGGCAGAGAGAGACACACACAGAATCTGAAGCAGGCTCCAGGCTCTGAGCTGTCTGCACAGAGCCTGACGTGGGGCTCGAACTCAAGAACCGTGAGATCATGACCTGAGCCGACGTCAGACGCTTAACCAACTGAGCCACTCGGGCGCCCCAAGAGACTCTTAAAGATAGAGAACAAACTGAGGGCTGCTGGGGGGGTTGCGGGTGGGGGGATGCGCTAAATGGGCGAGGGGCATTAAGGAGCACACTTGTTGGGATGAGCACTCAGTGTTATACGTAGGGGATGAATCACTGGGTTCTACTCCTGAAGTCACTACTGCACAACATACTAAGTAACTTGGATGTACATTAAAAAATAAATAAATAGGGGCGCCTGGGTGGCTCAGTCGGTTAAGCGTCCGACTTCAGCTCAGGTCACGATCTCGCGGTCCGTGAGTTCGAGCCCCGCATCAGGCTCTGGGCTGATGGCTCAGAGCCTGGAGCCTGTTTCCGATTCTGTGTCTCCCTCTCTCTCTGCCCCTCCCCCGTTCATGCTCTGTCTCTCTCTGTCTCAAAAATAAATAAACGTTAAAAAAAATTTTTTTATATAAATAAATAAATAAATAAATAGATTGTAACCCTAGAAAAATACCTGGCTACTCATGTTACAAAGGGCTAATTTCCATAATTCTGTATCTAAAGACTTTCTACAAATCAATGAAGACCAGCAATTCTCATTTTTTTTTTTAATTTTTTTTTCCAACGTTTTATTTTTATTTTTGGGACAGAGAGAGACAGAGCATGAACGGGGGAGGGGCAGAGAGAAAGGGAGGCACAGAATCGGAAACAGGCTCCAGGCTCTGAGCCATCAGCCCAGAGCCCGACGCGGGGCTCGAACTCACAGACCGCGAGATCGTGACCTGGCTGAAGTCGGACGCTTAACCGACTGCGCCACCCAGGCGCCCCATCTCATTTTAAAAAAGATAATAATTTAAACTTCGGCTGGTTAAATTTTATTTTATAAAGATACGTCAGTGTGGAGTTTGTTTTTTCTCAACTTGTATAAGAACATTAAAACACGAGATGGTCTTTGACCAGAGATCATACACGTCATTTCGGACCCTGAGTTGGTTCAAAGCTTCTGTTTCGTCTTGTTTCGAAGGTCCCTGAGGTTGAAAATGCCGGTTCGCCTTCCCTTTCTTGGTGGAAGTGTGCCTGAACTGCCTGCGGGGCCGCCAGCTGCGCAGCAACCAAGGACGGTCCTCGCCCTCCGCCTCCTGTTAGGAGTCTTTAGGGTCGCTAATCTGTACTAGCTTCCTCTCGCTGCTGTAACAGATTGCTGCAAAATCAGCCCATAGAATCCACACGCACGTGTCATTCGGGGGACGGAAATGAAGGGGCCAGCAGGGGCTTGCTCCAACCCGAAGCCCTAAGGGGAGAATGCGTTTCCTTCCACAGCTGCGTTCCTCCATCAAAGCCGGGGCTTGACATCATCTTGCTCTGGTGGCAGAAAAAGTACCTTCTTTTTCTGAGGCCAAATCTCCCTTTGCCTAAGGATGTGTGACTATATTGCACAGGATAATCTCTTTACCTCCGAATCTTTAATCTCATCCACAAACTCCCTTTTGCCAAACGAAATAAGATTCACAGGTTTCGGGACATCTTTGGGGCATTCTTCGGGGAACCACTCAGGCGGATTCAGGATGGGACCTCACGACATCACAGGGGTTTGAGTCTTGCTTGTTCACTCGAGCTCTTCCTCCCAAACACGTCCTCGGAAGGTCTTCAGCGGTCCCAACTGTGCCCCCAAGAGCAGCATAGAAAGTCAGCGGGTCCACCCATTAGAGCAGGGGCGCCTGGCTGGCTGGGTCCAAGGATTTCAGGTTTGTGAGTTCAAGCCCCATGCGGGGTGTAGAGATTACTAAAATTAAATTAAAGTTAAAATGTGTACATATTTAAGCAACAATTGCCACAGGCTCTGAGCTAGGGTCCCAGCCTCCTGGAATGTCAGTTATTTGCTGGTTTATGTCATCGTATCATTCAAGAGGGTGAGGGTAGATCTTTGCCGTTAACTTTTTACTTCTGAGCACCTGTCTCGAGCACCTGTAAGTATTCACTAAATATCCTTTGTTAGTGAATGAATTAATGTCTTTAAGTGACTCAGAGCCTGTTAGCAATTTTGTATTCTCAGACTCATGGCTCAGGACCCGACACTTGGCAGGCGCTAGGAGAACCCTTGTGGAGGGCTGGCCTAAGGGGGTCATCACAGCACACTGTCAGGACCCAGCAAATAGCCTGGAAGTAGCCTGACCAGAACCAGCAAAATATGAGCCTTTGTTTAGAGTTTCAGAAAGAGAAAAGCTATCTCTCCGGCTGTGGTCAACTGAATAACAGCTCTCAAAGATGCCAATGTCATTGTCCCGGGACCTGGGATTTGTCACCTCAAAGGGGGACCTTGTCAAGACCCCTGAGGCAAGAGTGACCCTGGGTTCCCAGAGGGCCCAGCGTCCTCACGAGGTCCTCACAAGAGGGAGGCAGAGAGCCGGGCGGACCCCGCGCTGCTGGCCGTGAGGATGAGGAGGGGCCGCGGGCCCAGGATGCGGCATCTCTGGCAGCCGGAAAAGGGGGACACGGGGCTCCCTGGGGCCCCGGGGGAACCGGCCCTGCCCACGCTTGGGTGTTAGGACTTCTGAGGCCAGAGCCGTCAGAACCAGTGTGTGTGGTGAATTGTTAGAGCAGCGCCCCCACCCTGGAGGCTCGGATAGGGGCTGTGAGTCTTTCCCAACTTCTGAGAGCCTCAGTGTCCACTTCTGTAAAATGTGCACAAGTACAGCCCCCCTTCACTGGGTCACTGGAAAGATCAGTAAGTCATGCAATAGGCATCAGCTGGTTTTATTATAGGGTCACTGAGTTTGAGGTGAATGGGGACACCCAGGAGACTCAGAGGGAACGAGGGAGGGAAGTGGGCACCTGAGAAGCGCAGAGGGCAGGACAGCGCGATCTGGAAGATAACAGGGCCGTACAAATCCCAGGCTGAATGTAAGCATGAACATTATCATTTTCCTCCTTGTCCTCGATTTGGCCACCAGCCTGCCCTCCCGCCTTCGGGCCAAAACACTCAGAGCCGACGACACACAAGGTTAGGGTGCAGTTGGGTGTTTACTGGGAATGGGATCTCAGAGGCCAGGCCTGGGTCGCTCACACTCTTTTGGTGATGCTCTTGGGGGTGGCCAGCTCGTACAAGCGGGGGGATGCCTGAGCCACCAGAGACGCGGGGGAAATGTGGTAGGGGTCATAGCCCTCGTTGAGGTCTTTGCGCACTTTGGGCTTGGCCAGGGAGATGATCCGGGGACTGGCCACTGCCTTCTTGGTGACGTCCAGCACCTCCCAGCGTGGATCTCGGTCAGGAACACACTGGTCTGACTGGGCCTTGGGCACTGGAGAGGGCAGGAGAGAGGGACCGAGTCAGGCACTGAGACTTCAGACATGTGGAGGTCAGAGCTCCCAAGTTCAAAACGGATACACACGACATGGCCCATCCGCCTGCTGGACCACCACTCAGCCAGAGCGGAGCAAGGCGCCCACCCCCGCCGCCCTGTAGACAGACCCTGGACACACGACACTCAGGGAGGGAACCAGACACGAGAGGCCACACGGGGTGTGAGTCCACATGTGTGAAACATCCAGAACAGGCTCATCCACTGACGGGAAGGGGGCTCGTGGGGGCCGGGGGCTGGGGAGGGGGTGTAACCTCTCATAGGGACGGGGTTTCTCTTTAGGGAGATGAAAATTCTAAAATTGATTGTGGTAATTGATGCACAACCCTGTGAATGTACTAAAAACTTTTCAAATGTATGCTTTATTTTATTTTTTACTGAGGTATGTTGAACTGTACGCTTCAAAAGGGTGAATTGAAAAGAGAAAAAATATTTCAAGTGGCCACAGGTCCCAGACAGGGGCACGCAGAGGGGCCGGCCAAAGGAGGGAGGCTAGCGGCCGAGGGTGAGGGGGGTGCCTGGCCGGCCCCTTCACCTCCTCCCCTCCCTGCTCTGATGCCTCAGCCTCTGAAGCAGATGGGTGTGAGAGGCATCTCCTCTCCCTGGCTGGTGCTGCACGCCTGGTGGGGGGATGGAGGGCAGCTCCCCAGGACAGGGCCCCCTGGGGACTCGGCACCAGCCTCCTGGCTGAGACTGCCCTGATCCTCTGGGCTCCTGCCGGGCCCTCTCAAGAAACACAGCTTTCTGCACTGGGTAACCTGGCTCCCACCAGCCACGTGTGAGTACAGAATGCCTGATTTGGGCTGCAGCTTTATTTGATTCAATTTTTTTTTAATTTTTTTTTCAACGTTTATTTATTTTTGGGACAGAGAGAGACAGAGCATGAACGGGGGAGGGGCAGAGAGAGAGGGAGACACAGAATCGGAAACAGGCTCCAGGCTCCGAGCCATCAGCCCAGCGCCTGACGCGGGGCTCGAACTCACCGACCGCGAGATCGTGACCTGGCTGAAGTCGGACGCTCAACCGACTGCGCCACCCAGGCGCCCCTTTATTTGATTCAATTTTAATGAAATCAATCAACTAATTTAGATCAACCGATAGGTTGATTTCAATTTCATCGAAGTAGCCACACACGGCCAGCGGCTGCCGTTGAGGACTCACAGCTCTCACGCGCAGAGGCCTGTGGCTCAGCCAGGCTCCTCCTTCTCACCCCTGGTGGCCCCCCGCGGAAACCCCTCCTGCTGGTCTGCCCCTCCTCACCTCCTCCCCACCACCCCTTCCTGCAGCACGTGGGCTGTCTGGGGACTAGAAGAGAAGTGGTCACCGGTGGTCACTGTCTTAGCCTTCGGCCTGTGCGAGCTTCAGGACCCTGGGGTTGCCTTCTTTCCACACCCGCTTGGCCCAGAGCCTCCGTGCGAATGGAAACGGGCCGTCCGCCCTCTCGGCGGAGCAACCCCAGCTCAGTGGGGTCCCTCCCACCAGGCAGGCACAAGTCCACGGGGGGGCCTGGCGGGGCAAGGTCACCAGGGTTGGACACAGATGTGCCGGGGAAGGTGACCCAAGAAGCGGCCTGTCCAAAGGGAAGGGGCCAAGCAGAAGGGCCTCAGCGCCCCTCAGGGCTAAGAGGACCGTGCCCAGACCCGGGCTTCTTTGAACTCCTCTGAGAATCTAGGAGCACGACCACCATCGTGACATCTAGACTTTCCGACTCTGCCCGGGACAACTTAACAGTGGTGACAGAGTGTGTTTCCATACAATACACAATGGACACACGGAGAAGCAAAGCAGCCATGGACTGTGCCCACACCTGTCTAGCTTCACGTGCACTGTCTCTCCCCTTCAAGTGCTGGTCACAGCCATCAGTGGACGCAAGTCTGCAGTGTGAAAAACACAGCCTTATACCCTCCTTGCAAACACACAACACACACATGTATGTTTATATCCCAGATGCGGGTATGTGACAGGGACAGAAAGACAATGTGGCCTAACACAGTGGTACGTGTTCTCATGTGTACGTTCACTTAACTGGTCTTTTCATGAATATTAAGAGAATGGATAAATGGATGGGCAAACAAAAGAACCCATAAGCACAGTTAAAAGAAGAGAGACCAGGAAAAGGTTATGTTGCCACGTGCTCAACAAAGGGTTGGTGATTATCTTATATAAAGAGCTGCTCTAAATCAATAACAAAAAAAAAGGGAACTAGAAAACCAGGAAAATGATAAAACAGAGTGAACCAAAGTGGCCAATCGGGCTCTCTGGTGACTAAGTGCCTCTGACACTGTTGGCCTGGCACCTAACAGATGCAGAAATATACTGGAAGGTCTGTTAGAAGGTGACGGGTGCTGAACAAGTGGTCCCCAGAGGTGGGCTGGCTTGTGGACTGAGACAGGGCAGTGAGGGCCCTCACCAAGGGGGCAGAGAGGAGCCAAGCCCTGTGGGAGGCAGAGGGGCATCTGGGGAGCGCCTGCCAGGCAGCAGAATGGAGTCAGGTGGAGGAAGCCAGGGCACAGATCGCAAGGTCCCGTGGGCCACACCGAGAGAGGCAGGTCCCCTGAGTGGGTCATGAGCAGAGAAGGACAGAATCTGAAACAGGCAGGGGTGGCGCCCAGGATCAGGGCAGTCCTGGTCTGGTCCAGGGACGCACGGTGGGCCCACAAGGGTTGTGGGGGTGGAGGCAGCTAGGGGCCTCCATAGCTCAGAAGGCAGAGCCCACAGGAGTCCTCCTTGCCTTGGACGTGGACGGTGTCATAGAAACGCCGGGCAGGGAGAGCATCTGGAAGGGCGCACGCAGGCAAGCACATACATGTGGCCACACAACTTTGCGGATCTGTGTGTGCACACCCAGAAACACACCAAACTGGATTATCTTTGGTGTGGGGTCCAGTTCTCTACCGCTCCTGTGTGGTTGGGGGGCCGGGTACCTCATGTGTTTTAGAGGAAAGGGGAAGAGTCAGGTAGGTGCCTCCTTAAAGCTTCCCTTGGACCTCAGCCTGGCTCTTGGGTTGGCGTCTGGCCTTGCACCCCACCTTGCTCTCCTGCACCCACTTGCCCTTGCCAGGAGACCCAGTCAGGCCACAAGCCCTCTCAGTTCTGTTCCTGGGGAGTGGTCCCCTCTGCCAGCCCCCAGGGGAGCCTGTATGGGCCACACTGTGAATGGTCTACAGGTGTCTGGACAACTGGTGTGCAGTCTGGGAAGAAGATGAAGCAAAGGGGGAAGGGCAAATCTAGAAGAAGCAGGCCTGTAGCCCAGGTCTACTGACTGGCCCCCCCACCCCCACCCCATGGCCTGTGGCCAGTGGGGAAGGACACAAGAGCCTGCCAAGGAGGCAAGTCCCAGCGGAACTACTTACTGGCCAAGTGAAGGAGGCGATTGTAGTCCGACACGTGCGGCTTGGGTTTTGGCATGGGGTCCCACTCTTCCAACAGGGTGGCTGGGGCCCTGGGCTTTGCCAGCTGTAGGATCCTTGTGCTGGGGATTGCCATCTGGGCTGCCTTGGATACTTGGGACACCTGGAAACAATTACAAGGGAAGAGTAAAACAGCCCATGATTCCTCATAGGCCCCTGGATCAGAAAGACCCCTTTAGTGTTCTAAAAAAAAAAAAAAAAAAAAAAAAAAAAAAAAAAAGATTGGGAAGTTCAGCAAAGGATTAGTAGCTATCATATATAAAGAGTTCCTCTAAATCAATAACCCAAAAATCACTATGGGTTTTTATGATTTATATGACTGGGCTAATCATGTAGGAGAGTAAACCTAAATGGTGAATAATCATCTCCTTGACCAGGGAAATATAAATTAAAACCACAAAATATTACTTTATGCAAGCAGACTCAGAAAAAATTAAAAAGTCTAAAAAACTATCATGCCCTGGCAAGAATATGGGAGGAGAGAAATCCTCATGCATGGCTGGTAGGACAGTAAATTAGTACAAACACTTTGGAGAGCGTTTGTCCTTCTCAGGTTGAACATGTGCACTGTTGAAGACCACCATATAGAGAAGCCCTACACCGAAGCACAAGGGAATGAGTGGTATTCACCGTAGCTTAAATATCATGGCAAACAGTTGGAAGCAGCCAGGTTGTCTACCAGTAGGGGACTGGGTAAATTGATTATTGTATACTCGTATGGTAGGGTGCAATCCAGCATGTTAAGTAGTGTTTCTATATGAATCACATGCAGTGTTCTAGAAAACAAATATTGAGAGGAAAGCAAGAAAGTTAAGATGCTGTGTATGTATATGGCTACGATTATAGTTTATGGGTCTATAATAATAAAGTTTAAAATTATGGATATGAGGCAGAGCTGGAAAGAGTGGGGATGATGGAGGGGGAACCCTGGCAGACATTTCACTGAGAAACTTGACCCACTTCCTCCATAGACAACTTCTTAGTGTTTTCCAGAGAATCCAGACACAATGACAATTGTCGGCTTGGCTACTGTGCATCAGCCTACACAAACGCAGTGCCTAGACTGAGCTCCGTCATCTCAAGGCTAATCGTTGTCTGCCCCCACCCCCAAAAAAGTGCATACAAGACACGCTCTTCCCAGGCTGCGCTCTCTTTAGTACGTGTCCTGCTCCGCCCCCCCCCCCTTTCCTTACCACTAGCCCACCAGCTGGCTCCTGCACATGTGCAAACAGTCTGCCCGCAAATGAATCGAAGGGTGGGAAAAATAACATTCTGAATGTGTCTGGCTGTGACAAAAGGGGAAGATGAGCTGGCCACTCCTGCCACCTCTGGAGAGGGAGGAGGAAGCAAGGGTAGTTGTTGGGATGTTTTACTCCTTATAGAGGAGGCGTAGGTCTGAAATAAACCTGTCGACGTGTTGGAGTAGGTCCAGGAATGCTTGTGATCGGTGGCGCTGTGTTTTAATGTCTCGTGTCATACGAAAGCTCTCTGCACAGTACAGTTTTAGCAGGAACCTGCTTGGAAGCAGGGTTGGCTGAAATGACCTCCAGGGGTCAGTCCGAAATTTGAGTCCCTTTCCTCTTAAAATTGTCTTCCTTGAAAATCACAGATGCTACTCCTATCAAAGACATCTTGGTGTTTACAATGTTATGTCCCATTCAACCCTCTATTGCCTCCCTCCTCCCCACTCCCTGCCTCTCCCTGCCTCCTTTCTTCCCCCACAACTGACATAGCCCAGGACTGACTGCTGAGGTAGACACGGGCCCAATGGCAGTCCTGCCTGGAGAGGTGGGCAGGCAGGTAAATTTTCACCTACCCATGCCTTCAGCGAACACTGATTACCACTCTGTGCCCCGCACAGGGTAAGACAGGCTCAGGAATGCTGCCACAATAAGCAAGAAAGGTGCAGTCTCTGTCCTCAGGCTGCTCACAGTCTGGTGGAAGGATCAAGGGTCCATCCAGAGACTATGCTAGGGGCTGGGAAGCAGGCTGAAGGTGGGGTTCCCACCAGACTGGTCGGAAACGGGAGGGTTGGAGGAGGAGAGTTCATTGAGTTCATTGAGTACACAGGGGCCACACGTAGACGGCAGAGGTGTTCCAAGTAGCGGGACCCGAGCGGGTACAGGCCCAGAGGGTTGTTGAGGGACCCTGCAATGGAGCCCGGCAAGACAGGAGCATGAGGGAGGGAGGTCAGGGAGCACCAAGCCTTGTTGAGCCTTCACTCCTCGGCCCGGGGATGTGGACTCTCCCAGGGACCGGACCGTGCCAGGGTCAGGTGCACAGAAGGGAGGAGGTGTCAGGGCAGGAGCCCAGAAAACAGCAGATGCGTCCCTGGGTAAGAGGTGGGTGGGACCGGTCGAGAGGACAGTGCCCTCCTTCGGATCCTGGTTCAACCAAATTGACCATAAAAGGCCTTTTTGGGGACCACTGAAAAAGTGAACACAGACTGAGTATTCTGATATTAAAGTATTACTGTTAAACTTTTTAGTGTGATCATTGTTATTATGGTTGTCAGTTAGAAGTACATCCTGGAGTGCTTACAATGGTATGACGTCTGGATTTACTTTTTTTTTTTTTTAATTTTTTTTTCAACGTTTATTTATTTTTGGGACAGAGAGAGACAGAGCATGAACGGGCGAGGGGCAGAGAGAGAGGGAGACACAGAATCGGAAACAGGCTCCAGACTCTGAGCCATCAGCCCAGAGCCTGACGCGGGGCTCGAACTCACGGACCGTGAGATCGTAACCTGGCTGAAGTCGGACGCTTAACCGATTGCGCCACCCAGGCGCCCCTGGATTTACTTTTAAATATTTTTGAAGGTCGGGGGCCCGTCCAGAAAATAACCACGTGAAAAAATCCATCAACACGTTCTTTGACGCACGTTAAAACCACAGTGAGATACCAGCTCCAAGGCAGCTTTATTGGTGCCAGCCCCAACCGGGAGACACCTCAGACCTCTTCAGTGGGCGAGGGAATAAAGTTGTGGCCATCCGTGGGACGAAACAGGACTCGGCAACTAAGAAGGCATGAACCGCTAGCAGGCGCGAGGATCTTGGAGACGTTAGCTGAGCCGCGAGGGCGGCCACAAGTCTGCGGCTCATTCCCGGCCCCGGGGAGAAGGGGAGGCGGGGGAACGGGGGTCACATGTCCGGCCTGAGCGGGCAGCAGACCAGTGTTTGGTTCGGAACGGACTGAACGGTTCCAGGCCCTCTGAGCTGCCCGCGTGTGAGCCGAAGGCCTGGGCCCCACCTTGAGCCCACGTGGGCAGGGAAGGTGTCCCTGCGCAGGCTTCAAGCGAAACGAAGCTCTGTCCTGAGCAGACACCTGTGAATCCTGCGTGTTCACCTGCGCGGTGACACGCAGGCCGCTCTGGAGTCTGTGTGTCCCTTCTGCCGCGGACCTCCGGCCCCCGGCCCCCGGCCCCCGGCCCCTGGTTGAGGGGGAGGCTCCAGAGGATAGCAAGGCACCTACCTCAGACATGTTTATGCTCCAAATGTTATTCTGGACCCTCGGGGTGGCCAGTTCCCTCAGGCGACTCGAAGCTTGGTATGCCAGAGTAGGGCGAGGAACGGGCCAGACGGAGGTGCTCCTAAGGGACACCCACATTTGAGACAGCAGCCCGACCAGGGGCATGTCCGTGTGCTTCTGTCACCTCTTCTCAGCCCATCTCTGACTTGGGGAATAAGGGACAGCCCCCGGGGGCCGCGGAGGGTTTTGAAAACACCTCCAGGAGGGGATTCCTTAAACAATCCCCAAAAGAAGGCCCCTAAGTGTTCTCAAGGATGGAGCTACCCTCTCCCGAGGTCGTCCCAGCTCTGTGTGCAGTGGCCGCCTCCCCATTCAGCACTCCCATGTCCCCGTCTGTGGTGACAGCATCTCCCGGGGCCTCCTGCGCACACACCTGTCATCGGGGCTGGGGTCAGGATAGAAGGGATGGAAGGGCGTGTCCTGTTCTTGCCACAGGAAGCTGGGGAAAGTGCACTTGTACTGAGCTTGAGGGGCTCGCATCTGCTTAACTCAGACGTCAGCTCTGCCTGCGTCCCCGAAATAAAGCCATGTTTCATCTTTTCTCATCTCTGAGGTTGGAATGCAGCTGATAAATGCTGTCAGCCAAACGTCAGAAGCTCCACGGGTGCCCCTGCCCGCATGTGCTCTGCATAGTTGTTGGCACAGAAATGGCCTCCGCCGAGTTACATGCATCCCTCCACGTGCAGATACCAAGCCTAATCGCACTTTACATTATCTTCAGATTACACGGGGAGTCAGCATTAAAGTGAAAAGTTACTGTCACAAAGACAGGCATAAAGATAGTGTGTGGGGGACGCCTGGGTGGCTCAGTCGGTTAAGCGTCCAGCTTCGGCTCAGGTCATGATCTCATGGTTCATGAGCTTGAGCCCCGCGTCGGGTTCTGTGCCGACAGCTCAGAGCCTGGAGCCTGCTTCAGATTCTGTGTCTTCCTCTCCCTGCTCCTCCCCCACTCACTCTCTCTCTCCCCCACTCACTCTCTCTCTCTCTCTCTCTCTCTCTCTCTCAAAAATAAATAAATGTTAAAAAAAATACAGTGTGTGGAACTTGTCAACATCTGAGTCAAAAAGTGATTCAAAACATTCAGACGCATTTCAGCTAATTTATTTCCATTATTATTTTCCCTTTTGTGTGCATAAAAGTAGGTAATTAAAAATCTGTATCTAGGGGCGCCTGGGTGGCGCAGTCGGTTAAGCGTCCGACTTCAGCCAGGTCACGATCTCGCAGTCCGTGAGTTCGAGCCCCGCGTCGGGCTCTGGGCTGATGGCTCAGAGCCTGGAGCCTGTTTCCGATTCTGTGTCTCCCTCTCTCTGACCCTCCCCCGTTCATGCTCTGTCTCTCTCTGTCCCAAAAATAAATAAACGTTGAAAAAAAAATTTTTTTTTAATTTAAAAAAAAAATCTGTATCTAAATAACTCTAAAGATCACTTTTAACAAAATTAAAGTTCTGAGTGATAAGAAGGAATTGTGTTAAAAGTTGTACATAAAATAATGTCTTAGGATTCCTAGCTTTGGGGGGCCAAAAAAATCCATAATGGTGATAAGTAACATTTATTGAGCACTTGCTAGGTCTGACACAGTACTAAGTACCTTTTGTGGATGCTCCCCACCTCCACCCATCCCACAGGTGCATAGCTGTGCCTCAGGGGTCGAGAACCTGCCCATGGGCCTCCAGCTGGGGATAGCCCAGCCCTGTTTGAAGTCAGGTCATCTACTCCTAGGACCTGGACTCTCCCCATACTACAGCTTGTCGAGGAAAAGGGGAGGGTTTCTGCCCCACTCTGCCTTCCTTCCCTTACCTGCTGTTGTTGAAATACTCCGAGTAGAACCTTTTAGGTCGAGCTAGCTCCTCCACTCGGCGCGTCACCACTATGCAAAATAGGAGAAACAGCCCCAACTTGAAAACCTGCCCACCCTCAGGGGTTTCCTTCTTGCTGAATCCAGCGTTTCACTGGCTACGGCAAATGGCACAGTGTACAGCACTGAGCGCCTAGAGAGCTGAGCACCAGTTACTTTGCAGAGGAGTGGCTTTTGCTGCCCCCATCCTGGGGACAATGGTCTCAGGGGCCTGAAGCCCCTTACTCAGGACACACAGGATGGGAGCCACGGGGCTGGCATGGGAGCTCAGACCCGTCATCAGTTCCTCAACAGAACTCAGTGTGGCTCCAACAACCCACTGGCTGGGAAAGTGGATTTTGGTCTGCAGTTAGTACAAGCGTAGGGTTTACAGGGGCTTCGTGTTCACTGCGAGAAAGATTCTAAACCCCCAAGAGAGAACTTGCCTTATTACTTCTCTCCAGGAAGAGATTTCTTGAAATATTTTATTTGAAGGAATCCATTTCTCTCAAAAACTATAGAGACCATTGCAGAAGGGAAGGCAAAGAGTCTTTTAATAAATTTAGTATTAATCCCCATTTTGGCTGTAGTGCAAATTTGCATTCCCCCTAGAGAGTCTGCCCCTCACCCCCTCACCCCAGGACCAGCCTCCTGAGGCTCTGGCTCCTCAGGGGACTGAGGCCAGAGATGACACACCTGGGGGAAGGGGGATGGCCGACGAGGGAGGAGCAGCAGGGAGTTTTGTCCTGAGGTTAGGGCTAGGGAAGCCCCAAGATCTCCTCAGTTGGAACGAGGCATGGGTTGGAGTGGAATGGGGGTGACCCAGGAGACCAGGGGCAGCACGTGAGACAGGGTGGCCAAGCACCAGAGCTGGGACAAGGGCTACCTCTGGCCAACCCCTGAGCTAGGTGACCCCTGATGGAGAAGTGGGGGTGGTGGGTGGGCTCAGCCTACCTGGCACCGTGACAGTGAGGGTGGTGTCTTCAAGAAACCTCTCTGTCCAGTACACAGAAGGCCTGGAATACACCGAGGCGTGGCTCAGAGCGAAGGAAGCCAGGGCACAGGACACAGACAATGGGGCACAGGCAGGGTGGTTGGAGGAGGAAGGAAGTTGGAGGAGGACAAGTTGAGAGGCTGTGGAAAGGGGCAGGTCAGAGAGGCTCGTGGGAAATGTGGTTTATTTTGAGCAGGGCTGGTGTTCAGAGAAAGGGGAGGTGGGAAAAGAAAAAGGCGCAGCTAAGGGCGGAGCCCAGGGGCCCTATCACAGCAGCAGACCCACTCCTCAGCTGGGTGGGCTGGCGTCCAGAGCACCAGGGTGGTTGGGAACGGCCCTTGGGGTGAGGAAGCCCCCCATCGGAGGGCCCTTTCCCCCAGTTCTTGCCCCTGGAGAGGAGGGCAGATCCCCCCCCGTGGCAGGAGACGGAGAGGCTCCCTGAGACTCACCAGTAGACACAGAACTGCAAGTTCCTCTTGCACGGGGACACCCAGGCATAGCCCTTACAGCAGCACCCCATCCTGTGATGAGACGGCCCAAGCCCCTGCCTTTGCTCTGCGGCTCCATTCGCCCAAAGGCCTCACTGTCCTCAGGCAGTTCCCAGAGGCCACCCCAGTCCCGCCTCTGGAACCCTGACTTCTCACCTCCCTCTGCACCTGCCCCCAGGTCATCATGTGAGTGGCAGAGAGCAGTCGGGAAGGGCAGTCCAGGGGGTGAACACGGGGGCGGTGGGGGAGGGGGGGAACTGCCAGGAGCTGCCCTCCTCCTCATGGACCCCCACCCCTGCCTCCAGTGAGGCTTCCCACAGGCCTCACCTGTCTCTTAGGACTTGCCAGTTGGTCTTGGGCTTTGCCAGCTCAAAGACCCGCTTCCTCCTCCTCCTCATCCCTCTGGCTGAGGCAGCACTGGGGAGCCTCTGGGTGATTGACAGCCGGCTTGGGGAGAGGGGCGTGGTGAGCGGGTCGGGGGGCTGTGCCCAGTGAGGCTCCTGGCCTGTCTGGGGGCGGGTCTGGCATCGCAGACACCTGGGTGAAGTCCTAGCTCCCCCAGCCAGGTGTGCAACCCCGGCCAGGTCACCGCCTCTGTGAAACGGCAGGAGACCTGCCCCCGGCTCCCTAAATCTCGTGAGCATGCATTAAGTGCCTACTGTGTGCCAGACCCCTGGAAACCCAGGGAGCGAGAGGAATAGGATGTTGGGGGCTCAGACGCCCGCCTGTCCCCTCGCTGGGTGCTGCCCCTGGCCTGAAGCCCCACCAAGGCCCCTCCCACCGGCCTGCGCCTTTTTTCCCCACGGCAGGTGTCCCCGGCCACCGCCCGCCACACCACAGGTCTGGGTGTGTGTTTATCACACAAGCTCCATGGGGGGCGTGGGGGCTGTGCAGGGTTCCAGGGGGGCCACGGGGAGCGCACATGGAGTCCACCAGTGCTGGCCCACGGGCGCTCCCGCTGGAACCGGCTGAGGCTGGCCAGGGCCGATGGAGGGCGGGCGGGAGGCCCACAGCGCAGAGCCCCCCACGTGCGAGGGAGCACCCGCTTCTTTCCAGGACACACAACTTGCCAGAAACCAGCCCCCGCAGGTTCGCAGGCCACCAGTTACCACTGTACCCGAGCTGGCGGGGACTTGGAATGGTTTCAGCTTCTGAGCTGCGCCGGGAGACCCTCCCACTTGCTTTCCTCTCTGACGGAGTCTCCACCCCTGACTCCTCAACTCGGGGAAGGTCTCCAACCCCAGCCCACCCTCCGCCTGGACAGGGCTGTGTTCGCTGGCTCCTGCCTCAGAGGCCAGTGAGCGGCTGTCCCCCAGTCCTCCCGCCCACAGCGGGGGCACCTGGGGCCTCGCTGGGGCTGCTGCCCTCCCCCCGCTGCCCCTGCCCCTGCCACAAGCCCCACTCCGTGGTGCCCACCTCATCTCAGGCATGCCCTCCGCGTCTTTCTCCAGAGCCCTCTCCAGCGGCTCGAGGGCCTCCTCGGGGGCCCGGGGGCCAGGCGGTTCTCCCCCAGTCACCTCCTCTGGGAGGGTCTCCGCTTCTCGATCTTCAAAACTCAGCTCCTCGTCATCCAGGCACGTGGTGTCCTTGGTCCCTGGACTCCTGAACACTGTGCCCTGCACGCCGAGGGCATCATCGTCCTGTCCCCAGTCGGGCCCGCCTTCGGCCTCCGAGCCGTGGTGGCTGTGGGACAGACTTCGCCGGCGGTCCCCCATGTACTGGGTCCTCCCCAGTCCTGCAGCCTTGCTCCCCAACACCCAAGTGTGTCTGTGGTCGCGGTCACCGGGCAACAGGAGAATGGCCCGCCCGCATTCGCATTCTCGGGGTCCACATTCCATTCCCAACAGGTCTGCCCCTCCCCATGGGGGCTCTCCCACCAGGTCCTGCCAGGGGGCTGCTTAGCCCCTCTCTCTGTCTTTTCCTGGCTGAACCAGGAGTAGGACCTGACCCCATCCCACATTTCTTCTTAGTAAGAGGCCCCAGTTGTGCTCAGTTCAAGGGGCCAATGCTGGTGGCTGTACCTTCCCAGGACTGGCTTAGGAATGAGACCCGAGGGGGAATCTGCAGGGGGCTTCGAGGAATGGTTTCCTCTCTCTTGAAAGGACACATAGGGGGTGCCTGGGTGCCTCAGTCGGTTGAGCGGCTGGCTTTATTTAGCTTAGGTCATGATCTTGCAGTTTGTGGTTTCGAGCCCTGGGTCGGGCTCTGTACAGACAGCTTGGAGCCTGGAGTCAGCTTCGGATCCTGTGTCTCCCTCTCTCTCTGCCCCTCCCCCGCTCATGCGCGCGCGCGCGCTCTCTCTCTCTCTCTCTCTCAAAAATAAATAAACATTTAAAAAATTGTTTAAGTAATAAAATTTATTTCCCTTCTTTTTTTGGGGGGAGGCATATGACACAGAGAAAAGACAGAGGTACAAGGGCGTGGCAGGGGGGGCTTTCCTGTGGTGGATGGAGTGTGGTGAGGCTGATCCTGCCGGTGCAGGCACACAGGCCTGTGGGCCCAGGACGGGAGACACGTGCGGTCCCACGTGGAGGGTAGTCCCTAGGCGCTCACGCCAGGAATGCTATGCCCTTGCACGAGACCTCCCACGCTGCCGTCTGCCCCCCCATCCGCCCGAAGTTCTGCAATCCCAGGTCGATGTGCGGAGTGGACAGAGCAAGTTCCTGTTCTATATCTCCGGCTCCAAAACTCCATTTAATATGTTGTCCTCCGATAGAGGACGTGTCACATGTTAAACTGGTAAGAACAGATGCTACAATTGATCTTAGCCAAAAGGCTGAGAAGCGATAAAAATCCTTGTTAAGTCCACTTTTCTTCTAGAGACAGCTCATTAAACCTGCTTCGCGTGAATTCAAGTCCATATTGGGAAGGCCAGGCATCCCTTCAAGCTCACGGGGGGACCAGGGTCTCCAGAGCCAGGCGCACACACGAGGTCAAGGAGAGGGCGCTGAAGAGGCCAGAGCTCCACCGGCCCTGAGGGAAGGGCTGGACAGTCCACTTCTGCTGCCCAAATATGCGGAAAAGCAAGAAAGTTCACAGCCAAAGGGCTGAAGGCAGGGTGGTAATCTCTGGATATGCGGATGTTTCGCATGGAGAACAGGCCGCAGCCTGCCAGGGAGGGTCCGTTCCCTGCCCCTTGTGGCCGTAGGCCTGGGGTCCCCACTTCCCATGGCTGTCAGCCGAGGGCAGTCCCGGCTCCCAAGGGGCACCGCAGCGCTGGCCCAGGGCCCTCCTTCCATTTCTAGCCAGCAGCGAGGCCTGCCCCTCTCCTGCCCCTCACGTGTCTGGAGTCAGCCGAGAAAGGGCCTCAGTTCCTAAGGACCCACGTGATCACATGAGGCCCCCTCCTGGGTAACCCAGCGCAGGGTCTGCAGCCTTAACCACATCGTACAGTCCCTTTGGCTACACAGGACACTGTGTTCCCGGCACCTTTGAGGCTACTATGCTTCCTACCACACCCAGCTCACTCCACACACAAAAATCCACTCGAAATGATTTCAGGGTTCAAAAGGCAATCGGTAAGAAAAAGCATAAACCAAGTGTAAAATAGGAAGCAGACAGGTGGAGACATTTCACAGGAGACACGCGGTGTCACAAATAGGGAAATGAAGGGAAAACTGGTGAGGTCACAGTTCACTTCCATCCAGCCGGCAAAGCCGAAGACTGGCGGTAAGACGTCGGAGAGAACGACCTCTTTTACACACAGGGACGCGGCCCAACTGTGGAGAACAATCTGGCATGAAGTCATAAAGGTGCATCTGGCGACACCCAGCTGGACACTGGCAGAGCTGGCCGCGGGGGCCCGGCAGCACCACTCACAATGGGGAGAAGCGGAGGGCAGCCCAGGAGCCGGCTCACAGGGGAAGCGGAGGAGGGCCCGGCAGCGTGAGCACGAGCAGCACCCGGAGAGCACGGACGTGGCTCAGGAGAAGCGGCGGAACGGGAGGAGCGGCCCGCAGGCACCCGTGTGCCCACGAGGAGACCTGAGGGCGGTGCTGGTCGTGGGGGGCAGGTGGCTGAGCCCTTCCCTCCCTGTTCTGGGGTTCTGAGTCGAGCTCACGGGTGCTCGTTATGTGAGGCAGGAGCGAACGCCCCAGCGGGCAGCCGAACAAGAAGTGAGACGTAAGACAGGGTCACACCGGACTAGTAGCGATGGCATCTCAGGAGGGACACGGGACCCTTACTTACTCGGATTCCGAACACAGGCCAGGGCGGGGGGGGGGGGGGGGGGGGCCGAGGAGGGAGGAAAGAAACGAAGGAGCGCTGGCATGACCGGTACTGTTCCCTAAACTCCCTCCACCTGGTTTTAAGTGACTTCAAACTAAGCCTGCAGAGAGAAGACACAGCTACTCACCCCGCCGTGCCTGCGGGGCGCAATGCAGGCCAGAGCCCGGGACCCTGCCTGGACCCCGTGGTGGCGGGAGGGAAGTGGGGGATGGCGTGGGGAGGGGGGGGCGGCGCAGGTGCGCGGCGGCCCTTCGCAGGGAGACGCGGCAGTGACGCGGCGTGGCCACCAGAGGTCGCCCCTCTCAAGGGCATGTCGGGCTCCCCGGGAGCCGGGCCGATCGGGCGCCCTCACCGCCTCGAGGCCCCGCCCCATGCCTCATCTCTTATTCCCCGCCCCCACTTTCCTCCGGGAAGAAACGTGCTCAGGGAGACAAAGTCACCGCCCAAGTCTGCGCTGGACTCGCACACGCGGCGGCTGCCTCCGGTGGTGCCCCCAGCTAGGACCACACTTGCAAAATGCAGTGGTGATGGGGGATGCCCTACGACTACAGATGAAGCGGGTAGCTTCCTCGGGCTAAAGTAGTCTCCCTGAAGACCAGCCACAACTATGCTCTTCCCTCACACAGCAACCTTCTGTGGCTCCCACCTGCCACAGAATATTTCCTAAAGCAGGGACACAGACTGGTATCTTCAAGGTGCCTGTAAGTGAGATAAAGGCCCAGAGTTCAGTACCATCAAATATGGTGGTGATAAATCACTCCCCTTTTTGCTGAATTACAATGCTTCTGGGTAGCTCTAGAGGAAAATCTCAGCTTGCAGCTAACCAAAGTTTGACTTGCTCAGTTTTATTAACCCTTTTTAACCAAAAGAGAGCAGGCCCATGTCTGGGGGCAGGGAGGGAGACCCAAAAAAGCTGGAATTTAAGAACCTTCTTTTGTTTGTACTGCTGTTTGTTTACACACCTTGTTTCTGGTTTCGTTCTGTGATTGTTTCAAAACGACTGCCTAGAAAAGTTCCAAGCATGTACTGAGAACCGCCATGGACTTTCCACCCGGATTCACCAACTGTTAACATGTCGACACACTGCTTTATCATTCCCTGAACATTTGAAGACAGTTGCAAGCATCACACCCCTTCACCCCGCCCCCCCCAAGACTTGAAGACTCGGCACGTATTTCTAAGAACGAGGATGTTCTCTTGCATAACCACAGCAGGTTATCAAAATCCGGGCGAACATAGCATTGATACAACCCCTTAGTTCATCAAGAATTCTTCCCCAAATTTCAGAGACAGTCCCCATAATGTCCTTTCCCACTGTTTCTTCCCCTCCAGAGTCAGTCCAAGCGAGGCATCACACCTATGAGCCTCTTCGGTACCCTGTCCTCTGACAACCCTTCACTCTCTTTCATGACCTAAACAGTTTTGAAGGTTTGGGCCAGTTATGTCACACTGTCTGGGGTTCTCTAATATGTTCTCATGATCGGTGAAGGGATGTGCATTTTGGCAAGAATCCCTCAGCGGGTGCTGTCCGAAGGCGAGCGGAGCCGACAACACATCCCATCGCTGCGGACGCGAACCTCCCTCCTTGACTCAGGTGGTCTGTCCAGGTTTCTCCACGATACAGTGCCATGTTCTCCCCCTTGAAGTTAACAAGCATCTTTTGAGAAATACTTGAAGACTATTCAAATACTGTTTCCTCTCATCAAACTTTCAGCCGCGACTTTCACAGCTTCTTTCTTTTTATGGAAAGTTGTGCTGGTTTCCCATTTACAGACACGGTACAGTCTTTTTCGTACAAATTTACTCAGGAAATGGGTCAATGTGGTGACCTAAAGAAATACATCAGGCTACAAGAGTACGCGTGGGTCGACCAAAATCATGACAGCGACTCGAGTGATAGGGACGCAAAAGCTGTGTGTTGTCCTCCAGGCGACACTCCAGGCCCCTCCCCCCAAATCCCTCCTGCTCAGTGGGAACATGCGTCCCCAGACTATGGGCTTCCCAGTGGCAGTTCCCAACACAGGCTTTGGGGATGTAGGGATGGCCGGAGCACAAGCTGTATAGGGCGGAGTGACGTGTTTCTGCTGGGGCCCCCCTCCCCCACAAAACCCGGCACCTGGGGGGCATCTAGAGTCTCCTGCGGCTGCTCTAACAAATTGCCCCGAAGGCAGTGGTTTCAAACAACACACATTTATTCTCTTACAGTTCTGGGGTCAGAAGTCAACTCGGTCTCACTGCGCTAAAGTCAGGGTGTGGGAAGGGCTGGTTCCCTCGGAAGGCTCCAGGGGAGCATCTGTTCCCACAGATCCGAGAAGCCACACAGGGGACGGGGTGACAATTTAAAGAGGAGCCACGTCAAGGAGCCACTACTGCCACCACTGTTAGGGGCTGCAGCAGAAGCCACAAGATGGAAGCTGGGACCTCGGTGGGCCTGTCCAGAGAGCCGGAGCCACAGCGGGGACACCACCTAAAGCGAGAAGAAAGGGAGAGGGACACACACCCGGCTTCTCCCTCTAGGGTTCCCCCAGATCTCCCACTGGTGGAAG